ATCCAAAATTGACATAAAATCTAAAGATTAGGGACCTAGAGTTTAAGTTGCTAACTTACAGTAAAAGAAGCATGACACGTAAGGTAAAACGATATTCGAAACGACATCGCATGGAACAAGCACTGTTCTCCATGGGGTCATTCCTAAACTCAACCTCACGCAAGGCACAACGACGGTGGAATCCATTTCAGAGAATGCTGCTTGACCTCAATTCGTACCTTCGAATTCAGTCCGTAACCCAGGACGGAATCCCTGTTTTGACTTGACGAAATGAGCTCATCAAGTGCTTCTCCATTATCACTCTTCCTTACAACTTCCTCTATGCCACCGCGCCGCAGCAGCAACCTGTCCTTCTTCACTTCACCCACCTCATTTTTCTGCATTCCCAGATCGACAAACCCCAGGATCCTAAGCCTCTCTTCGTCGTTTGCTGACGCGAACCTTGACCTCTCCTGGTTCCCTCCTGACCCCAATTCTATACCCGACAGTGACGGTGGTTGGGCTGTTGTCGAAGCTCCTCAAAGGAAGAAGAATAAAGGTTTCTGCTTTTTCCAAATGGGGTTGAAATTCTGATTGAATTCATTTAATTTGTTGTTTCCTTGTTGAGGGAATCACTAGTGCTAAATGGGTTTTGCTGGTGCAGGATTGTCTACTATGGTTATCGGGGGTATTGGATCCTCAGTCGCCATTGTACTTGCTACCGTTGCTTACTTTTCACTATACAGAAGGGGTAAGTTAATTTTTAATTTTTTTGCTAATTTTAATTGTTAATCTGCTCTGTGCAAGATGGCTTCTTTCCTTGTAAACATTTGCTAATTGAACATTCTGATTTCAGCACAAAATATTAGTCCTATGAATTTTAGTGCAATACAAGTGACTGCATTTGTATATTGTTTTTTTCTAAAGATTGCATATTGCAATCTGCTGTTGTTATTTTCCATTCTCTTTATAGCAGGCAATTCTGTTCATTGGTAACTGGCAGGTGACTTATGAAATTGGCTTGTTGAATTGGGGTTTAATCATTATTACTGCATTGCCATTTATCATCATTACAGGTTTTAACTTTCAATTTAGGGGTCCACTTCATTCTTTACATGGGGTTTTAAGCTGGAATGAGACTATAGTTGATAGTAAAGCTACTGACTCTTCTGATATAGGCAAAGAGGTCAAGCTGTCTGATGCAAGTCCAGAGTGTGAATCTGTTGCAAGTAATGAAAGTGTTGGCTCAGGTAAAGTCAAGTCGATAGGTAAATGAGTTTCCAGTGGTGTCTTTTCTGTTTTATTTATATTTATATTTGTAGTATTTCCTAATACAATAGAGGTATGTTTTGATCAAAGTTTTTAAAATATCTGTAATTCTCTCCTTGACATCTTCAGCATCAGCAGGCAAGCTTGAACGGATTGTAGTACCAGTTGCTGCAGATTCTACTCAAGAAGAAGCTTTGTCTGTTCTAAAAAAGCTGAAGGTTTGATTTTAGAGTTAGATGTTCATCAAGTATTCTTATCTCAAACACTTGAACTCCAAGATGATTGCATTTTTTGACTAATTATTCACATTGCATTTGTTTTAAATTCCTACAACTGAATAAACTCAAAAAAAAAAAAAAAAAATCTTTCGTGAAATCTTGTCTGCCAAATTTCAGAGTCACATAGATACTCTATGGGATATTTGATTGGTTACAGTCAGAAAAACTGGAGGAAAAAGCCTCAAAGTAGTTTCCTTACATTGGACTTATATTTATTTTCCATAATTAATTTGTGTTGGATTTCATCATTTCCATACCTCCATCTGAATTTTTTTAAACTATTAAATTGTTTTCCTTATGAGTGGAGCTTTGGGTCCAGTTCTAAGCATGAATATCTCAACTGTAATTAAGGCATGCAGATCATTGAAGAAGACATAAGATCTGATGAATTGTGCACCCGGAGGGAATATATAAGGTGGCTAGTTCATATAAGTTTGTTATTGGAAAGGTAGTAACTTATTTATATACTGGAATAGCTAGGTCCTCAAGATTTCAGGCATTTTGAACTCTTTTTTAAAGATTAAAAGGCCTTCCTCAGCAAATTATTCACATTGTAGGAATCTGAAGCACCAGGTTGATCCATCTGTAGCCCTCTCCGCATCAGTAGTTCCAGCATTTGATGATGTGGGTATTGAAGACCCAGATTTTAAATACATACAAGGTAAAAGTTGTTTTAATGTTTGCATGTTCCGATTGTGCTCTTTTAAAGGTGAAAATTTGAAACATCTCCTTTTGGACTTTCATTTCAGCCTTAGCAGAGGCAGGTATCGTTCCCAGCAAGCTCTCAGGGACAAGACCAGCAGAAGTCTATTTCTTTCCCGACAGATAATTTATGTGCGTGAGTTTCATCAATACTTTTAAATGTCCTTTGGTTTTGACACAGTCAAGATATGTGGTGCTGCAGCTTTCTCACTCGACATGATCTCATAAACTGGAAAGCTCTAGTAGAGTATGAATTCAAGCCAGGAATAGTAGATCAGGTACTTTAAGTTTTTCATTTCAGCCAGAAGGTACAATAAGTTAAATTAAACTGATACTTCACTATTGCTCTTAAAACCTGACTTGTTAACAGTCCAGATATCTAGGACAAAGGTGGAGTATATGGATGTGAAGAACATCTGTCCAGAGTCGTCACCAGGACTTTTCATGGACATGTTGGCTGGAGAGAGAAGCATACTCAGAAAAGTTTTTGGTACCTTTCTTGTTTGGTTCTGTAACCCTGCAATCTCTGTCCCTCCCCCAGCCCCCTCTTTTCCCTAACAACATGCTCCTCTACTCTCACTTTTTTTTGCTAAGTTTTATGGTGGTCCTTGTCATGAAAAAATTCATTGATTCTCCAATCATTGATTTTGTAAATATTGGGAGATATGTGCTGTGACTTATGTACTTTTTCTAAATGCAAGAACACCATGCCAATAGATTGGAACAGCCGGGATTAGGAAGACATAAGTTAGTATCAGCTTATAAAATGCCAAGTGTAAAATGTAGAACAAACATGTGAATGAGAAAGAATGAGTTGAAGTTATGACTTATGGAGGCACAAAAATGTTTCTCCTTTATACTTGCAGTGTTGCAAGAATATAAGCATAGCTGATAAGTGAATCATTTTGTTCTCATCTTTATACTATTCCAAGCCCATAAGATGAAAAATGCTTCTTGAGATTGATCACATAAATGCTTGTCAGTAAATTTCTAACAATTGTAGTGGTGAATTTTGCAGGACAAAGCAAGCGGCTTCAACCAAATAAACCTTCAACAAAAGCACAAGCAGCAGTGGCATTAACAAGCGGTAGGATTTCAGAAGCAATTTATAATGAATTAACGAGGCTAGAATCTGAAAATGTTTCTAGGCAAGCTGAAATGGAAGAAATGAGGTCTGAGTTACTTGACAGAGGAGAGATACAGAGGTTTTGGCATGAAAAGCTGAATGAAGGAAGAAACCATGGTGTTGAGGTTGAGAAGCATTATCTTTCAGCAATTAATGAACTAGAACAGGAGAAAACTGTCCAGGAAAAATATTTTGCTGACTCATTGAAGGAGAAGGCAGTGATGGACTGCCAGAGGCAATTGCTTTTCAGTCTGAAGGGAGAGATTAATGATTTGTCAGAGAGGCTTGCATCTGAAAGGAGAATCTATGTCACCGAGCAATGTAAGTTGCAGGATATGCTCAGTGATTTACAATCCAAGCAAGTGGGAATGCTTGACACAAAATCTATGCTCAAAGCAGAGATTGAAGCACTTCGAACCCTTAGGTAAGAATTAAAATCAGAAGCTCTCCTCCCCTCCCTTCTATATTCTACCATTCTCAATCATTTTCTTCATAAAAAAGAAACAGAATTTAGTACTCAAGGGCAAGCTCATGATGCTTCGCAACAAATTTCTCATTAATTTTACATAATGGCATGTCGTTATATCATTCAGCATCATGTCTTAATGGCTATTGTTGAATTGGTTTTTCTTTTGAAAATTGTCATAAGATCCAATGCTAGAGTGTCCATTTTTTTATTTTTTTTCTGCCAGTTGAATAGAATGTTTTATATGGAAAGAAGTATTTGTTTTTCAAGTATTGGAATAGAGTTCTCATAAATGGAAGCAATGAATGCAGATCCTGGGTAGAGGATGAAGCAAGAAAAAGCCAAGCCCGAGCTAAGGTTCTTGAGGAGTTAGGAAAAAGGTGGAGATGGGATGATCAAGCTTCACTCCCCAGTACCTCAGAAACTGAAAAGTAGAAACATTATTCATCCATAACAAATACCAAGAAGGAAAATCCCAGCGGAAGTAAATAATCTTTGATTGTTTTATTTTGTTATCCCATGGTTAGGATGGCATCAGTGCCGCTCTCTGGATAATATATTTTCATTGTTGTATCTTGTGACTTATACATTTGTTTAATTTATTGATTGCTCCATCTTCTTGTGAAGCAATAAAAAAAAAAAAAAGGGAAATCCGTTTAATGCCATACCCCTTGAAACATCTTCCTTGTGTTCAAAATTTGCAGTCCCTTCTTAATTTTTTTCCTCGCCATTTCTAAGAGTTTTACCAAAAATAGAATATGGTATATCCCTTTAAAAGCATCTCAATTTCATTATTTCAATGAGGATACAAAAATTCTACCCCAAAGTTTTTGTACTGTAACCCTTTCTCGAAGTTCCTGTGAAGATAATAAGAATTTGATGAATAGTCTTTTTCATATTAATTTCATGCTGTCGTAATATCTAATTAATTATTTAAATCCATCTGCAACAAGCGATGCACTGGCTTTCACTAAACCTTCGTATTCTCAGCGTTATTCCTGAAAAAAATAATTATTTTAGCCTTTTAGGACCGTAGGATGAGAAACCATACACTAATATTACTGTTGGTTTCTCCTCCTACAGTGTTCAGTCCCTTATAGGGGATTTTCCCAATGGTAAAAGCTTAAGTTCTATGCTAAAGGTTGTGCACAAAAAATACTTAACATCTGAGTTTGGATAAAGCTTTAATTTGAAGAAGATTGCCCTAATTCTAAGCGTAAAGTGTTCGAAAGTTATTCCCGCGCAACCCTTTGGCAACTCCGGCAGTCTCCTTATTTCTCTTTCCCCCCTGCACTTCACCCTACTCCAGGCTATGTGCCCTAGCAGGTATGCTTCATATTGTCCTACCTTTTTACTTCAAATTTCTTGTTTTACCCTTATTAGTTTAGTTGATTGTTTACCGTTGAAGCTGTAAAGATTGGATTTTTCATGGTTGATGGGAGTATTTGTAGCTACCTTTAGTTGTAATATTTTATATTGGGCAAGAACTGTGGTGAAGAAAGGGACATTAGTGACTGCTAGTGGTAGATTTACGTCGAGAAACACCAAACCCACGTTTCTTTCAAATGAGTTACAAAATGGCCAAGAATTCCCATCCTGTGTCTTGGATGAAGAATCATGAATCCTGAGAGAGCCAGGAACCACTAGTGTTTTGGATAATATCATGGCTGCTAGAGGCCCCTGGAGCCCACCGAATTTGTAGCCAGGAAAAGTATTTTTGTTTTGCTTCCCTTTTCCTTCAATTATCTTCTTCTTTTAGGAATATTAGATTGACTAGTTTACACCATTGAATTCCTCAGCTAGACAAATGGCTGTTGATAATTGATGAATCCTTTCAGTTCACTTCCCATGTCAGTATGTCACCATCTTCATGCGATCCTATTTTTCTATGAATAAAACAGAATTTCACAGTTTTTTTAACCAAGGAGATATATGATTGTTCAACCATTCTTTTAAATTTTCATTTTTAGTTTTTGTATCTTTTTTTTGAAAACACACCTATTTCTTGAAAACCCATGATTCTGTTTGCAGGTTGCACCCAAAGCTTTGGTTCCAAAAAGCACAAGAGGCGTTAAGCAAATCTTCTTTAATCTTTTTGATTCTTTTTGTTTTCTGGTGTGACATTTTTCTTCTTTTTGTTAGTTTGTTATGTTGTTTTAAGCTGGCATTAAGCATGCCTTAGAGCTTATCATAATTCTGTTAATGACCACCTCCCAAGAGGAGGAGTAAGACAGATGGTGGACCATCATGCCTCGCTTATCCCTGTGTGGCTCACCAAATAAACCCAGCAGGTCCGGACTCCAGACAAAGCCAAAAGAGCCAACATTTTTTTATTGTCAATCACAAAAAAGTTTGGTTTGCTCTCCTTGTTGCTTGGCTACATCCTTGCATGTGCACCAGTACATAAAGAAAACGGATTGGAATTAGATTTCAACCTTACTTTACCCATCAAACCCATCCCAGCTGTCCTCATTTCCCTTGATTTGATTTAGGGGCAAAGCCAAAAATGAGAAAAAATAGCCTCGATTTTGAGCTGGACCCACCTTTGTATTAAGTCCAATCAGACATTATGGGCTCTTAATCAAGGATTTTATCTTGTGGTCCTCATCCAATATAGTGGTGGGTATAAGATAAATCAGAGGGATGAAATTACATGGTTCTGAAGAGGCGTCCAGCTGCCATAAATCACACTAATTATGATTTAGGTGGGACGCTAAGAAGTATACAGTTGGATTCATTGGAGAAAAAGTTTATTTTGCCACGATTTAACTTGTATCCAAATTGCAGATATGTAGATACCCTACAATAGAAAGGAAGAAGGGCATATTACCTTTTTCTTCAAATTTACAGTTTCCAGCTTGTCTTTTATCTTCCATTCTCTCTATGTTTTGAGTTTTTGACCCCATATGTTCCTGTCAAACAGAATGGTAAGGGTCAAGGCCTGCCCTTAAAAACTGTCAATCCTTCTGGGGCAAAAAGTGGCCACTAGTAATGAGTGGTTTCTGTAGCTCTTGGCATGACAGTTTTGTTGGAATTCTACTCACTGGGGACTTTTTTATTCACAAGGATGCTTTACTTTGAGAGGTCTATAAACCTGATAACGTGATAATGATAATGGTATAGGAATGTTTATACCTGGATATGCCTGTTGAATTCAGATATAATGATATAACTTCTCTAACCTGGGTTTTGCTTATGGTTGCATCAGGATTGAGTCCATATAAGCTTTGTGAGCAAGTTCCTGGATTCTGGGTTCCTTCTCTTTTCATTTGGAAGGCAACAATGGTTTGAATTATCAGTTATGGGGATAAGGAGGAATGGATTTTGGCGTGTCCTTGAATTGGGTTGTTGCTATAGAAAATTGGAGTAGGAGGATTTTGTTATCAATAATTCCTTCATGATAGTCAGGTTAGGACTCTTGGTTGCTGCTTCAATTGCAGCCTACACAGTTAGGCAGCTCAATGTCAAACCCTCAAAGTCATCGGCTCCTGTAGCCCGACCTTCAGGTATTCAATTCTGTAAGTTTATCGGTCATTCAATTATTTGTTTTCACTCTTAATGTCATTAAAAGATTGATTAAATCTGTTTTTTGGCCATTTAATTTTTCATTTCAGAGCTCTCTTATTTAATGTTTATGTTGAAAATCAGTCTTATATTAAAGATTAATGGTTTGTTTGGTCTGCCCCCATTTCTGGGAACTTTGTTTTCTTATATTAATTTTTGCATTTGTGAAATTGAAACTCAGAAAATGGTGAACTGTACTCTGAACACCCAGAAGGGGAGAATAAGGAGCGGCTTACACATTCTCATGATAGCCTCAAAGAGAAGGTTGAAGTATGATTTTTAAGTCGTTTTTTCTTCAAGGAAATTTTTGTCTGTTCTTTTTAATCTAATTGAGTTTGCAGATGTGAATTCATGTATCCTCTAAGAAATGAGCTCTTGCTTATTTTCTATGAAATACTGAGTTTTGCTGTATACTGCAGGGGAAGGATGAAGAGGAGGAGGAACAGGTTAAATTGATTAGCAGCATATTTAATCATGCTGATAGTAGCCAAACTAATGATGGTGATGAAGATATTTTACCTGAGTTTGAAGACCTTCTCTCTGGGGAGATTGAATATTACCAGGGGATGCCAAACAATGCAAGTGAATTGGAAAAGTTACGCCATTTAGTAAAGGAATTGGAGGAAAGAGAAGTGAAACTTGAGGGTGAATTGCTTGAGTACTATGGCCTGAAGGAGCAAGAATTAGACATTGTTGAATTACAAAGGCAGCTCAAGATCAAGACTGTTGAAATTAACATGTTGAATATTACCATCAACTCTTTGCAGACTGAGAGGAAGAAGCTTCAAGAAGAGATTGCACAGGGAGCTTCTGTGAAGAAGGAGCTGGAGGTTGCAAGGAACAAAATCAAGGAGCTACAACGGCAAATTCAGCTGGATTCTAATCAGACCAAAGCACAGTTATTGTTTCTGAAACAACAAGTTTCTGGTTTACAGGCAAAAGAGGAAGAAGCCATCAAGAAAGATGCTGAGGTTGAGAAGAAGCTGAAAGCTGTGAAAGAGTTAGAGGTGGAAGTTATGGAACTTAGGAGGAAGAACAAAGAGCTTCAACATGAAAAGAGGGAGTTAACTGTTAAACTGGATGCTGCTCACAAGAAAATATCAGCTCTCTTCAACATGACCGAGGTAAATGCAACTGTAATATATATTTTTCTTAGGTGGGATGGGGGATGATGAATTGATAATCTTTGCGTACAAAATTAGCCATATAACCTTTAACAACAGCTATGGAATTAAAAGCTGCCTCATAAAAACTTCAATCTAACATGCAGATGCAAATTAGAGATAACTGGTAGTAGGTGCATGTATATTAGGAAACAAACAAGGAATCTGAATTTTGTAGATGATTGTTACCCAATTTTCTTCAGAGTGAGCAAAGAAAGGTGGGGTGGGGAGTAAAAATTAAAAGACTAAATCTGTAGGCTAGGCCTTTAGCTGATATAGCATTTCCTTGTGACTATTCAAAACATGACTCTCCATTTATTTTGTACTGATTTAGAGTGAAATGGTCGCAAAGGCAAGAGAAGAGGTCAGTAATTTAAGACATACAAATGAAGATCTGTTAAAGCAAGTGGAAGGACTCCAGATGAACAGATTCAGTGAAGTTGAAGAGCTAGTTTACCTTCGTTGGGTCAATGCATGCTTAAGGTATGAGCTCAGGAACTACCAGGCACCCCCAGGTAAAATGTCTGCCCGTGACCTCAGTAAGAGTCTGAGCCCCAAGTCTCAAGAGAAGGCTAAACGGTTAATGTTAGACTATGCTGGATCAGAACGTGGGCAAGGAGAAACAGATATTGAAAGCAACTTTTCTCACCCATCGTCTCCTGGTAGTGAGGATTTGGACATTGCTTCTATTGATAGTTCCAATAGTAGACCCAGCAGTCTCAGTAAGAAACCTAGCTTAATCCAAAAGCTGAAGAAATGGGGCAAAAGCAAAGATGATTTAAGTGTTTTTTCATCACCAGCCAGATCTCTTTCTGGAAGCTCTCCAAGCAAGATGAGCATGAGCAACCGACCAAGGGGTCCATTAGAAGCTCTGATGCTGAGGAATGCAGGTGATGGTGTTGCAATCACAACATTTGGTACAATGCAGGAACCTACTGAATCCCCTGAAGCTCCAACGCTTCCAAACATTAGAACGCAAGTTTTGGGTGAGTCACTGGATTCTGTTGCAGCATCATTCCATGTGATGTCTAAATCGGTTGAAGGAGTTCTAGATGAAAAGTATCCAGCATACAAGGACCGGCATAAATTGGCCTTAGAGAGGGAGAAGCAAATTAAGCAAAAAGCTGACAAGGCAAGGGCAGAGAGATTTGGTGACAGGTCAAATTGGAACTCAAACTTTGACTCTAGAGCAAGGGCAGGTGCAGAAAGGCCTGTTACATTACCACCAAAACTTGCTCAAGTGAGGGAGAGGACAGTTATCTCTGGTGACTCAGATGGACAAGCTAATGATGGTAAGGCTCCTGATTCTCCAACTATAAGCAAGATGAAACTTGCAGACATTGAAAAGAGGCCTCCTCGGGTGCCTAGACCACCTCCCAAACCATCTAGTGGCAATCCTTCTGTTACAAATACCAGTACTTCAAGTGGGCTACCTCCTGCTCCACCTCCACCACCACCTGGTGGACCACCTCCTCCACCCCCTCCTCCAGGAAGCCTACCGAGAGCGGCAGGCAGTGGTGACAAAGTCCACAGAGCTCCTGAACTTGTTGAATTTTATCAGACTTTGATGAAACGAGAGGCAAAGAAGGATACATCATCTTTGCTTTCTTCAACATCTAATGTATCAGATGCAAGGAGCAACATGATCGGAGAGATTGAGAACAGATCTTCATTCCTCTTAGCTGTATGCTGAATTTTTCCTTTAACTGCATTTCTCTGCAATCTGTTGCATAAAGAACTGCTAATCTTTAATCACCTAACATCAAGCAATCTTATGGGTGTGGATCCAGGTAAAAGCTGATGTGGAAACTCAAGGGGACTTTGTCCAGTCATTGGCAACTGAAGTCCGAGCAGCTTCCTTTGCCAACATAGAGGATCTGGTGACCTTTGTAAATTGGCTAGATGAGGAACTCTCCTTCTTGGTACGCTATTAAATATTCATTAGAAAAAATTTATGTTATAGTTTGGAGGCGCTCATGGTTTGACTTTAAAAGAAATCTCATTGATGGAAGGATAATATGGCAGAAATTATGCATCTTTCAGCTATCTTATACTTACACTAAGCAGGACTGTATATCTACATATTAACTCGAACTCTGGGAGCATTTCAATGAACTCCTACTTCCATATAATTTTACAAAGCATTCTCATTTAACAGTTTCACTCTAAACCCTGTAAATATCTATTTTATCTTCTTGCATTTGACCAGGTTGATGAACGGGCAGTTCTTAAACATTTTGATTGGCCTGAAGGAAAGGCTGATGCATTAAGAGAGGCAGCTTTTGAATACCAGGACCTGGTGAAATTGGAGAAGCAAGTCACTTCGTTTGTTGATGATCCCAAACTTCCATGTGAAGCTGCCCTAAAGAAGATGTACAAGTTGCTTGAAAAGTATGTAACTTCTTGTTTGACTACTTTATCCCTAGCAATCATCTTATTGGAACACATGTTAAGATACACCAGCCTTTTTTGGAGCATTTTAACATTTCTACTATATTATTCTAATTAAAATCCAGAAAGCAACCTTTTTCTGGTAATTGATTTTATATGGTTTACCATTTTTTCCCCAGAGTGGAACAAAGTGTGTATGCACTCTTACGTACAAGGGACATGGCTATTTCACGATACAGAGAATTTGGAATTCCAGTTGATTGGTTGTTAGATTCAGGAGTAGTTGGCAAGGTATGAATGAATTGCTGTGGTCCATATAGGTTACTGGTTATTTGGTTACTTATCCTTCCTTTCTTTTCTTTTCTTCTTCTTTTTTAACTCCTATTCTGGTTCTTTGACATACTCTCTAGCTTCGGACTTGATATGCACTTTCGCCTACATAATGATCTTTAATAATATTTTCCATGTTGCAGATCAAGCTTTCGGCTGTACAATTGGCAAGGAAGTACATGAAACGTGTAGCATCAGAACTTGATGCATTGAGTGGCTCAGATAAGGAACCAAACAGAGAGTTTTTGCTTCTGCAAGGTGTCCGTTTTGCCTTCCGCGTTCACCAGGTATATTTTATTATGCAAAGTGTCACTCATCAAGATCTACAGATACAGACTAAAAGAAATCTAATCTACACCATACTTGGCTGAGTCTGAATTCTTTTTTTTCCCATTTTTGGGGGCGGGTCATTTTGTTGTTAAAAGTAGCTGGTGTTTTATAACTCTAATTTGATGGTAAGTTGAATTGGTTGTGTTTCCAGTTTGTGGGTGGCTTTGATGCAGAGAGTATGAAGGCTTTTGAAGAACTTCGAAGCCGTGTCCACACACAGATGGGAAGAGAGAATAAACAGGAAGCATAAACCTTCTGCACACTTGATCAATATCCTTCATTTTTTTCTGAAAAAAAATGGAGAATAATCATTGATGAACCATATGAGACCCTGTTGCGTGGCTTGTGTGGTTACTATATAGATGTTCCACCCACACCATTGGGTTCAAACCCCCTTATACCCATT